CCCAGGGGGGATGGTCACGCCGCAATCCCTTCTCCTCCATTCTCCTCTCGGGATCTTGGGCATGCACGCACATGCGCCCGGCGTGAGTTTTAAGCCACCGGGTCTGGGACACGAACCGCCGTCGACTACGTGGGAGTCCAGCGACATAGCCATTACACTAACTGCTGGTTCCCGACACTTACTTTTTTTAAGAGAGATTTTTTTTTTTTTTTTTGGAGAGGTTTTCGCTATAGGGCGTGTGCGCTCACCAGATAGACAGAGACATAGCGACAGAAAGCGAGAAATCACCCCCCAGGGGAGATGGTCACGCCGCAATCCCTTCTCCTCCATTCTCCTCTCAGGATCTTGGGCATGCACGCACACACGCCCGGCATGAGTTTTAAGCCACTGGGTCCGGGACGTGAACCGCGGTTGACTACATGGGTGTCCAGCGACATAGCCATTACGCTCGCTAACTGCTGGTTCCCTTAAAGAGAGAGTTTTTGCTATAGGGTGCATGCACTTGCCAGAGAGAAAATGAGAAATCACACACACACCCTGGGGGTGGGAGGCGGAAGGGCCACCCTGTGGTGGCCCTTCTCCTCCAGTCTCTTGGAATTTGGGGCATGCACGCACACATGTCCAATGTGAGTGTCAAGCTGCCAGGTCTAGGACTTGAACTGAAGTCAGCCAAGTAGGAGTCCAGCGCCTTAACCACTATGTCACTTCTGCTACCTACCCACACACTTCTGACCCTTTCAACCCCACCTGACACTGATTCCTGGGGTCCCTTGAGTTCAGAGAGTGAGGCTATCTATCCCCGTGTTGCTCAGTGACCTACTGGAATTGCCTCCCCTCATCTGTAGTGTAGGGTTCCAGGTCAGGCTGGGCCTGGGGCCTCTTGTGACACTGTCTTCACTGACCTGCATGACAGTGCCTGTCCAGTGTTGTAGGTGTGGGGATTACAGCATGTCTTGTGGTAACTGCTGTGGTAGGTTGGGGGTGGCACACTGTTCCTCTGTCCAGCCTGCAGGTTCGCAGAGGCAGGCTGCCCAGAGATCTCCTGAGGGAGCCCAGGTACCTCCCAGCCCCTTAGGGACCTCCCACTGGGCCACATAGCCAGACCCCAGGCTCCTTCATCTCAGCCCAGCACGAGCTGGCGCGTGGGGCTGCTGTGTTCTGGACCAAGGGCTGTGTCCTGGGCCCGCTCTCCCACTTCTGAAAGCCTGTGAGCCTCCTCTTTTCTTTCTTTTTTTGTATTTTAGAATTATTTTATTTAACTTTATTTTAATTTGACCAGATAGGGATAGAGAGAGAGAGAGAGAATGAAAGTGAGAAAGTTAGCTGCCAGGTCCTGGACGCGAACCACGGTTCGCGTCATTAAGGCCAGCACCCTTAACCACCATGCCACCTGCCGGCCCAAGCCTTCTCTTTTCTAAACCCTTATGTTGCCCTGTGTCCTGGACAGAGGTGACTGCTAGCCAGGTGCTGAGAGCATTCAGGGCAGGGCCTGTCAGATAAGCCCTGGCCTCCCAGGCCAAGAGACAGAGGGTCTGGGAGGGAGAGCTGGAGGACACAGCTGCTTTCCCCGTCGGCATGAATAGGAAGTGAGGGGCTTTTGGGGGAGAACCCAGGACCCTTCCCTCAGCTGCTGGGCCTGCCCTGGGACTGTGACGTCCCACTCTCCTGACACCAGGAATTTGACACCCTGCTGTTGCTGGGGGCTTGCTGGGAATCTGCCCTATCGCTCACTCACTGAGGCCCCTGGCTTGGGGCAAGGCCTGAGCCTTCTCTCTGCTATGCCCTTAGTGCCCAGCCCCAGAGCCAGGGTCACCACGCTGTCCAACCCCATGGCGGCCTCGGCCTCCAGAAGGACCGCACCCCGAGGTACTGTACCTGCCCACTCAGGCCAGGTCTGGCCTGAGCCGTCCTGGGCACTAATGTCTCCCTCCACACCTGACACTAACGACCCCTCTGGACCAGACCAGTGTGCCCAGTCCTCCCCTAGCCCTAGCACTGACCTGCCTGATGCTAATTCTCACCCAGAACTAACAGGCCACCCCTGTGTCCCAGCATACGTGTGTTCTAGCCCCCTCTTCTGGCCCTACGGGGTCCAGCTGACCACCCTTGCCCCACCCTTGGAGCTCGGTCCTCCCCTGAAGGCCAGGCCCGGCCAACCCCAGGTAAGTGGTGCTTCCGTCCCACTTGGACACTCACCTGATCCCTTCTCCACAGGTAAGTGGGGCAGCGTCCGGGCCAGTGGGCGCAGCGGTGGGCTCGGCGCTGACGTGGGCTCCCGGCTAGCAGGCAGAGACGTGCTGGGCCCCCCCCAGGTCAACGGGGCTCCCCCCGACCAGGGCTTCCTGCGGCCCCAGCGTGCAGCCCTCTACATCATTGGGGACAAAGCCCAGCTCAAGGTGACAGGTGGAGGAGGGCAGCAGAGGGGTCAGGAGGGGCTTGGGCCACGCGGGCAGGCCTGGGCTTGGGTGTGTCTCACAGTGCTTGGCTGGTCTCCTCCCAGGGTGTGCGACCAGACCCTCTGCAGCAGTGGGAGCTGGTGCCCATTGAGGTGTTCGAGGCCCGGCAGGTAAAGGCCAGCTTCAAGAAGCTGCTGAAGGCGTGTGTCCCCGGCTGCCCTGCCGATGAGCCTGGCCCAGCCTCCTTCCTGCGCTCGCTGGAGGACTCCGAGTGGCTGGTTCAGGTCTCTGCATTCCCCGTCCCTCTGGATTTGCTTGTCTGATAGCTTGGGAGCCAGGTGGTGGGGTGGAGGTGGCAGCCACCTCCACCTGGAGGTGTGTGACTGGAGGCTAGGCCTAGTGGAAGCCCAGGCAGTGGGAGTGAGGGTGGGCCGGATCAGGGTCTGGGTGTGAGTGCAGCCTGCTGGGCAGAATACCTTGGGGTCAGGACTATCTGCTGCTGCCTTTTGTGGGGCTAGTGGAGGGCTGGGTGTTGAGGGGGTGTTGGTTCATGAATGTGGAAGGTTGGGGAAGGAGCTGCTGGGCCCAAGGATGAGGATGTCTGCTGAATCGGCACCACTCAAACCCGTGGGCCTTGGGGTTGGGGAGCTGTGACAAGGAGGCCGTGGAAGCAGGGCCAGGCACACCCAGAGTGTGGTGCACATGCGGTGGCCACGCAGCAGGGCTGTGCTGTGCCTGTGGATGTGTGCCTCTCCGGGCTCTGGTCAGCAGTGGGGTCAGAGGGCAGCAGGTCCCTGTCCCCGCAGATCCACAAGCTGCTGCAGGTCTCGGTGTTGGTGGTAGAGCTCCTGGACTCAGGCTCTTCTGTCCTGGTGAGCCTGGAGGACGGCTGGGACATCACCACCCAGGTATGCTGCAGGCACGGGCTGGGGGTGGGCCAGGTCCCCATGGCACCTCCCTAACCCACCTGCGGTGCTGGCAGGTGGTGTCTTTAGTGCAGTTACTCTCAGACCCCTTCTACCGCACGCTGGAGGGCTTCCGCCTGCTGGTGGAGAAGGAGTGGCTGTCCTTTGGCCATCGCTTCAGCCACCGTGGGGCCCACACCCTGGCTGGGCAGAGCAGCGGCTACACTCCCGTCTTCCTGCAGTTCTTAGACTGTGTACACCAGGTGGGCAGGTGGTCCTGCAGGTGGGCAGAGGCTGTGTGCTCTGACCCCTGGCCCCTGACCCCTGACCTCCATGACTTGCAGATCCACTTGCAGTTCCCCATGGAGTTTGAGTTTAGTCAGTTCTACCTCAAGTTCCTCGGATACCACCATGTGTCACGCCGTTTCCGGACTTTCCTGCTCGACTCTGACTACGAGCGCATTGAGCTGGGTGTGTGTGGGGGGGCGGGCAGTGGGGAGGGCAATATGGGCAGCTGTGTGGCAAGGCGGCACTGGGGCTCAGCACTGCTCCCGTGCAGGACTGCTGTACGAGGAGAAGGGTGAGCGCAAGGGCCAGCTGGCGTGTAAGTCTGTCTGGGAGTACGTGGACCGGCTAAGCAAGAGGACGCCTGTGTTCTACAACTATGTGTACGCGCCTGAGGACACAGAGGTGAGCTAGGGCCTGGTTTGGGGGTGGAGGCTCCTGCCTGACCAGGTGCTCAACACCAGGCCCGTCCCCAGGTTCTGCGGCCCTACAGCAACGTGTCCAACCTGAAAGTGTGGGACTTCTACACTGAGGAGACGCTGGCCGAGGGCCCACCCTACGACTGGGAACTGGCCCAGGGGCCCCCGGAACCCCCAGAAGAGGAACGCCCTGATGGAAGTGCTCCTCAGAGCAGGCGCCGTGTGGTGTGGCCCTGCTATGACAGTTGTCCCCGGGCCCAGCCTGATGCCATCTCACGCCTGTTGGAGGTACGTGCAGTCCCAAAGCAGGGCCTGGCCTAGCAGCCCCTCCACTTGCACATGTGTGCGTGTCAGCCCAGTTACCCCTGGGGTCAGGTGGTCCAGCCCTCCCCTACCACATGAACAGCCTTGTGGCTTAGAAGGCTGGTATTTCTCTGTGGCCATGTCTCCCTCGGTCTCAAGACAGTCTCTGTTTTGGATACGTGTGCTTCCCTGACCTGGGTTTGAGCAGCTTAGGCAGTACTGTTGGGGTCAGCCCTCCAGGAGAATAGGGTTTCCCCAGTAATTGTCCTACTCAGCCAGACTATCCCTCCAACTAGCAGGAACCACAAAGCTCTTAACTGTGTTCTTGTCCTGGAACGTCAGGGTCGACACTTCAACCTCTCTAAACTGCCATCTTCAGCGAGCGTGTCTGCTTTGTGCAAACCAGGACTAACAGGGCAGAAGCTCCTAGGAGGGAGGAGAGCCCAGTGAGTGGGGTAGTCGTAGGGCTGTTGGCTTGTGTATGTGGTGCTGCCTCCCTGGGAAGTGGCCAGGGTTCTGCACAGGCCTGAGCAGGTCAAAGGGCTTGAGCTCACATGCAGACGGCAGGATTTGCATTCACTCCTGGTTGGCCGTGTGGGCTTGGTGCTTGAGCATCTCAGGACTTCTGTTTCCTGAGTGTGGAAGATGGGCATGCCAACTGCTGCCTCACAGGGAGGTGGTGCTGAGGTGTAAAGGAGTGTGTGCTTTGATCACCTAGCATGTGGCCTGACCTTTAAAGGCACCAGTCATCCAGGGCTTAGTGAGAGTGTGGGGTCATGGTTTTGAGGACAAAGGTTAATTAACCACAAGCACAGAGAGCAGAAGAGTCCCTCTTTATTTCTGGTATTCCGTCTTCAAGTTGGCATGGTCTGTCGTTAATGGAGCCACTCAGTGTAGTCTGCTATTTTCAGTACTTTGATTTTTGGTTTGTGTCATTATGTTTTAGTTGAGTTTCGTGTAGGTAGTCTGTATTTAGGTTGTCTTTTTATTCAGTCTGATAGTTTTCCCTTACTGGAATTTTTCATTCATTTACATGTAATTATTTGCTTGGGTTTGAATCTGACATCTTGCTGTTTGGTATGTCCCATTTTATTTTTCACTTCTTCTATGTCTTTTATAAAATAATGAGTATGTTTTCATACGTTGTTATCTACTTTCTTAAGTTTTTTAGCTATACTTCTTTGTTTTATTTTTGTATGTGTGTGGTTGCCATGGAATACAGTCACAATCTATCTTCAGTTTTAGAGGATGCTAAAGAAAGTTTGTGGAAAAATTAAAGTACGGGTTAATTTTGGTTCAGAAAATTTGAAGGGCCAGTAGGTGGTCCTATGAACTCTTAATATTTCTTGTGAGTTTGCCAGTTGCAAATTACCTAAGCTTTTGTTTATCTAAAGAAGTCTTCATTATGCCTTTATTTATTTATTTTAGTTTCCTATAGGGCATGTACACTTGCCTGGGGGGTGGAGGGGAGAGAAAGAAAGTGAGAAAGAGAGAGAGAGAGAAACCACCTCTCTGGGGGGATGGACATATCACAGTCCCTTCTCCCCCATTCTCTTCTTGGGATTTTGGACATGCACACACATGTGCCTGGCGTGATTTTTAAGCCACTGGGTTCACAACTTGAACCAGGATTGGCCATGTGGGAATCCAGCACCTTAACCACCACACCACCTGCTGCCCTATTTATTTATTTTAAAATAATCATTTATTTAATTTCATTTATTACTACTATTTTTTATTTTTAAAAGAAATATCTTTTATGGGACCAGCAGTTAGCGTAATGGTTATGTTGCTGGACTCCCATGTAGTTGACTGCTGTTTGAGTCCTGGACCCGGTGACTTAAACTCACGCCGGGCACATGTGCATGCGTGCCCAAGATCACAAGAGGAAAATGGAGGAGAAGGAACTGCGGCATGGCCATCCCCCTGGGGAGTGAATTCTCCCTTCCTGTCTCTCTTTCTGGTGAGCGCATGTGCCCTAGAGCAAAAACTTCTCCAAAAAAAAAGTTATCTTTTATTTAATTTGATTTATTATTATTTTTTAATTTAACCAGAGAGACAGTGAGTCATCTCTCGATCCTTGTATTCTTTCATCCCATCAGGATTTTGGCCACATGTGCGCACACACTGTGTTTTTTAAGCGCCTGCAGATGGGATTCAAACCATGGTCGGCCATGTGGGATCTAGTTCCCAATGTACAGTGCATAGCCACTGTGCAGTAGAGCCAGCCTATGCCTTATGTTTTAAAGGATGTTTTCTCTAGATAAAGAATTCTGGGTTGATTGTTTCTCACATTCAGCTGTTTAAATAATATACTGTTTTCTTGCTTGCATTGCTTCTAACTAAAGTTGGTGCTCCTCCTAATTTTTTAAAACTGTATATAATATGACCTTATTTTTTTTTACCTTTAAGATATTTTCTTCATCTTTGGTGTCAGTAATTTGACCATCACGTGTTTTTTTTGTGTGTGTTCATCCTGTTTGGGGATCCTTAAGCTTCTAAGTCTGCAGAATGATAATTTCATCAAATTTAGTGCAGTTTTTTTTTTTTTCTTTTTTTGAGAGGTTTTTGCTATAGGGTGCATGCACTCGCCAGACAGACAGAGAGAGACATAGAGACAGAAAGCGAGAAATCATCCCCCAGGGGGGATGGTCACGCCGCAATCCCTTCTCCTCTATTCTCCTCTCGGGATCTTGGGCATGCACACACACGCGCCCGGCATGAGTTTTAAGCCACTGGGTCCGGGATGTGAACCGTGGTCGACTATGTGGGAGTCCAGCGACATAGCCATTACGCTAACTGCTGGTTCCCAAATTTAGTGCAGTTTAAACAATTGTTTCTTCAGATTTTCTTTTCTGCACATGCTCTCCCTTTGTCCCATAGGTTACTGAGGCCTTTTTTTTTTTTTTTTTTTTTTTTTTTTTTTGAGAGAGAGAGATTTTTGTTATAGGGTGTGTGCACTCGCCAGAAAGACAGAGACAGAGAGAAAGCAAGAAAATCACCTCTCAGGGGGGATGGCCACACCACAATCCCCCCTCCTCCATTCTCCTCTCAGGATTTTGCGCACGCACGCACACGCGCCTGGTGTGTTTAAACCCCCGGGTCCAGGGCTCAAACATCTGTCACCTACGTAGGAGTCCAGTGACATAGCCATTATGCCAACTGAGGGTCCCATTGAGGCTTTTTTTTCTGTCATTCTCTCAATTGTTCATTTTATTTATTTATTTAAATAATTACTTAATTTTATTTATTATTGTTATTTTTTAATTTAACTAGAGAAAGAGAAAGTAAGCCATCCGGTCTGGACTTGAACCACAGTCAGCCACATGGAAATCCAGCACCTTAACCTCATCACACCACCCATCAACCCCTCGTTTGTTCATTTTAGATGGTTTCCTTGTCCTAGCTTTAAGTCCACTGCTCTTTTCTTTATTGTGTTTAATATGCTTAAGCCCATCCAAAGGATTTTCATTTTGTATACTGTATTTTTTAGTATTGTCTAAAATTTCCTTTTTTTTTTAAGTCAGAGGATGAAGGAGGAGTTATAGTGTACCATGCCCTATTAGGGGTGGGGTAGGGCAGGGGGGCTTTCTTTTTCTCTGGAGAATGCATGTGCTTTCTGGCAATATTGAGTGAGAGAGGAAAAAGCATCCCCCAACAGGCATGGTCACACTGCAGTTTCTTCTCAATTTCTCTGTCCTGGCAGGATTTGGGGCACATAAGCACACATTGCCTGGCATATTTTTCAAGGCTTCAGGGCTAGGATTTGAACCATGGTCAGGCATGTGGGATCTGACTCCCCCAGCCACCAGGCCAGCCCTCCACTGGGTTCTTTTCACTTTAATTTTAAACAGTTTTTTATTTGTTACAGCAATTTTCCATCTGTTCAACTTTATGTTAATTTTTTATTTCAAAGTTTTAAATTTTCCTTTAAAGTTTATTTATTGAGAGAGAAGGAGATTGATACCCTTGACAGGGTCTTGCCACGTTGTGATCATCTCTCCAGCCATCCGGATCATGGGTGTACCAGTATCTTCCAGTCAACCTGGAATGCATACTCAGGGTCTTCCATACTGCCTGCAGCTGCAGTGTACTGCAACAACAGCCACTCTCAAATCTTGACACATGTTTATAGCAGCTTTTTAATTTCTTCTATTTTAATTCTGACACGTTTTAGTTCTGTTTCTTTTTACTCTTTCCATTTTCCTGCCCGTTTGGCTTTGTAACTTTTATTAGTCTGGACATTGTGGCTATTTCATCAAGGCTCATGATTGTGTTGTCTCTCTTGAAAAAGTCTTGGTTTTTGTCTTTGTTTTTCAAGAATTATTTAATAATTCATTATTGTTCAGTTTGACCAGAGAGAGACAGGGAGCAGGAGAATGAGAAAGCAAGCCACTAGGTTTGGGACTTGAACTGCAGTTGGCCATGTGAGACTTCAGCACCTTAACCACCACACCACCTGCCAGCCCCCAAAGTCTTGGGTTTTATTCTTGTAGGTACTTGATGAATTTGTGCCTTAAGCTTTTGAAGTCTTGATCTTTTCAAGGCTTGTTTTAAAGCTCTGTTAGGGCGTCTCTACAGCAACCCTAGAGAAGCTCAAGGGTTAACGTAGCCTTCCTGAGCCTCTGCTGAGGCTCATTTGAAGTTTTCACGTTTTCAGTGAGGTCTCATCATTCTGGCTGTTTGGAATTCTTCCTACATTTTCCAGTATTGTATTTGTCTTTTTTTTTTTTTTTTTTTTTTTTTTAAGAATTACTTTATTTAACTTTATTTATGTGTTTGTTTATTTTAATTTGACCAGAGAGGAACAGAGCAAGTGAAAGGGAGAGAGAGCGAGAGAGAGTGCAGGCAAGTGAGAGAGAGAGAGAGAGAGAAGGAAAGTGAGAAAGCAAGCCACCAGGTCTGGGACTCAGACTGGAGTCTGCTATGTGAGAGTCCAGTGCCCTTAACCACCACGCCACCTGCCAGCCCCCAGCATTGTATATTTGGATTCAGCTAACTTCTTAGTAGCGTCTTTCCACTAGGCCTTGGGACATCTTGCTTTTGCAAATAGCAGCTTGATTTGGCGTATGACTCAAGGATGCCTCTGCAATTTCTAGAGCTCCTTTTGTGGTATTCCCTTCCCTCTTGTAGGCTGCCTCACAGACCTGCCTGCCCGAGTGTCCCCAAACTTCCCACTTCTGCCTCCTCAGCTTAGCAGGACTAGTGTGCTGCTTCAGCTCCACCCTCCTGTGCTCTGTCTAGGCAGAAAACTGGGGCAAAAGTAGGGCTCAGAGTTCCCATGCTGCACTGCTGGTTTTCCAACATCTGAAAACAAGTGCTTCCTGTTCTTGTCCAGTGTCGTAGTTGTGTGTGGAGGGCTAGTCGCAGACAAGTTCTCCTGTCATGGCCGGATGTGGAAGTCTGCCCTGTGTTTCTTTTTTGATGTCAGCTGTCAGTTGTTGTGTTGCTCTTTCAGTGGCATGTCTTTTTTCTTCTGGCTGGTTTTGGAATTTTTCTGTTTTTCTGCCATCTTTCTGCAGCACCCTGGTGTGTGTGTGCATGTTTCACCTGTCCTTTTGGGTCTGTAGTGTTTCTTTATGCCATTTGGTGCCCCTGGCTAGTTTGTGAACATTTTCAATTATTGTCTTTAAATATTGACTTTGCCCATTCAGTCTTCGCCTCTTCCACCCACTCTTGCTGCCTCTGTATTCCAATTAGATGTGAGACCTTTTCATTGTATATCTTTCCTGTATTTTCTATCCTTTTGTTTTCCCACACTCCAGTTGGGATATTTCCTTCTGAATAGCCTTTAATTTTCAAATTTTTCTTCAGGAGCTACAGCGGCTGGAGACAGAGCTGGGCCGACCCCCTGAGCGCTGGAAGGATACCTGGGACCGGGTGAAGGCTATGCAACGCCTTGAAGGCCGGCCTGATGGGCGTGTGAGCAGGGGTTGGGGTGGGGAACCAGTGGGAGACCAGGGTAGGTGTGTTGCTAGGAGGTAGTGGAGGGTGCCCAGCCCTGATGCAGGCCCTATCTCCTGTCTCCAGGGCACTCCCAGCTCCCTACTAATGTCTAGTGTGTCCCATCACCGCCGCTCGCTGGGCGTATACCTGCAGGAGGGGCCTGTGGGCTCTACCCTAAGCCTCAGCCTGGACAGTGACCAGAGCAGTGGTTCGACTGCATCTGGCTCCCGCCAGGCTGCCCGCCGCAGCACCAGCACTTTGTACAGCCAGTTCCAGACAGCCGAGAGTGAGAACAGGTATGAGGGGCATCTACCACTGCTGCACAGACACCTCTGAGCTGGGGTCTGGGTGCTCAGATGCCTTTGAGGAGCTCTAGTCGCTTCTTAGAGTAAGAGGATCCCTGCGGAAGGCCACAGTGGCCCAGGCCTAAGGCAGTGTTGGAAGGGGCTTGGGGTATGGTCGCCATAACTAGGCTGTGGTGGCTGAGGGAAGAGCAGAGGACAGGGTCTTGGGGCACCTGTGTCTGAGGCATGCTACCTGTGAACCTGGAAGGACCACATGACTGTGGTGACTTCCCCAGATCAACCCTATGTAGGGGACTGCTTTCTCTGAGACGCTGCCCATTGTCTGTTGTATATGGGGGATAGGGGACCCTTCACTGTTTCCTTTCTGGGGATAGTTTTCCTCATGAGTTTGCAGCTCCCAGGCTTCATGGCCTTCTGTCAGTGCTCTGGCCGTGGTCAGTTTTGAGGGACAAGGGCCTTGGTCTTGCTGCTCAGACTGGGACAACAGGTGGGAGCAGCTATTGGCGCCTGGGCTTAGCTGGGCCCTGATGGCTACCCTGCCCGTC